ATATGTTATTTCCGACCTCATTGTGACCGCATGATTTTAAATGCTTCTTCAAACTTGCTTTGTAATTCAAGTTGTTAAATAATAACTTCAAACAACTAATATTTTGTTTTTGTACAGTTTCGCTTTGTAGTAATGGGAAATATGTTCTGCACAGAGTTGAGAATTCATCGGAGATTTGATTTGAAGGGTTCGTCCCTTGGACGATCAGCAGATAAGGTTGAAATAGATGAAAACACCATACTCAAGGATTTAGATTTGAACTACTCGTTTTATTTGGAACCTACTTGGCGAGAGGCTTTATTAAAGTAAGTCGTACTTAAATTATTATCTATTTCTGGGAAGGCTATACGTTAGCATGTCATAGAATTGATTTTTTCTTCCAAGCAGGCTATACGTTTGAGATAGAGCAGTACTTGATTGAAGGAACTCTAGCTCACCAAACACCACAAGCATTTTTCAACATTGAAAGGCGTGTGTGTGTGTGTGTGTGTGTGTCATTCTTAAATCACATGTTCTCTTCAATACAGGCAGATCGAGATTGACAGTAAATTCCTAGAAGTGCAGAATATCATGGACTATAGCCTTTTGTTGGGTGTACATTATCGTGCCCCACAGCGGCTACAATCCCACGCATCTTACAATCGAAACATGAGGGCTGATGGGTTGGAAATTCTTGCGGAGGATGGTGAGTATCGAATGAGAACATTTTTTTATCTTTTGTATTTCCAGTCAATATCTATAATCGCTACGGCTTCAAATTTTTAAAAAAGGATATAATACATACAGAATATGCTAAATAACTTATACGGTAAAAATTACATGGATTGGAGAAATCATAAAATGAAGATCCCTTAATTTAAAGTGCTGCGAGCTTTTGATATTCTGAGATCCAAAATCAGGTATTTATTGGTTATGAATATGAAGCTGTACATTTTAGAATTTTATTATTCTGTTTGCCAGTATAATGCTAGATACTTTTCAAAGTTCGGCAGTACTTTTCATTTTCATATGAAATTATGAATATTAGAGTAATTATGATTTGACACTTCTTATGGACCTCTGGAAAATTATCTCCATTAGTTTTCCATATCCAATATAACGTTTACCAGTCTTATCTCCAGACGTTGGCTATTGATATGCTATGAGTATGACTCGATTTGAAACATTAGTTTGATATTGACGGATGCCAATTACCTTAGCTTGCTGATTATCCAGCCTAAGATCCTATTCTGTTTTGCCATTGAGACTGAGCTTACAATTGGGAGAATTTTCGGATCTCGGTACTTGTGGCCATCTAAATTTCATCTGTTATGCATTGGATTGAGTATAATTTTGTGTTTAGCCAGTAGCCCAGTTGATTTTCTGATTTGATTTGATGTACTTGACACAACTAGCTGCTAATATTAAATGGCAGATCCTTTCAAGGAAGACATATCGACCTACCCACAAGGCCTTGTCTTAGTACCTCGCACAGATGATAACAGTGTTGTTGTTGGCTCCCACATCAGAGGCAGCCGTTTGCGAGCATCATCTGCAGCTGGGGATGAGGAAGTGGATCTTCTGTTGCCTGGTACTGCAAGGTACTACTTTTCATCCCCACAAAATTCTCATTCTTCCAACTATTTCAAGCACGTCTCAGTGTTTGTTTGTCAACCACAGTAGAATAATGTTTAAAAAGTAGGTTATGGTTCATTAATCTTTACTCGCTACTCTTCTTGCAATTACTGGTAGTTAACAATATCTATCAGAAAGAATTACAATTGAGAAAATCGTTTCACACTCCGTCATGCAGGCTCCAAATCCAACTTGGAGTGAACATGCCAGCAAGAGCAGAGCAAATTCCAGGAGAAGAAGAAAATCAGATGTTTCACGAGGCTTATGATGTGGTTCTATATCTGGGTATCATCGACATTCTACAAGAGTACAATATGAGCAAGAAGATCGAACATGCATATAAATCTATTCAATCTGATTCATTTTCCATCTCTTCTGTGGATCCTACATTCTATTCCCAACGTTTTCTTGAGTTCATATTTCAGAAAGCATTCCCTCAAAATGCTCTCGCAAGCTGAGGAATGTTGCTCCACATGCATATCCTTACAATTCAATTTCTCCTCCGGAAGTTTTCCTGCTGCAGGCGATGCATATTACAACGATTGAAGGACGGAGAGGCTTCATTTTGGAATTTGTGGAGGGTTGTGGGTGACAAATGGCGGCGATGAGACCCAGGTTGTGCAAGTGCTTTAAAATTCTCAGCCGTTCGCTTGTAGATTATTTTAATACTCTTTTCCACGTCCTAACATAATATTCTGCAGTTCCTCTCGTAGACTCTTAATTTATTCTTCCATTCATATTGAGCTTACGACATTTCTCTCTCCCCTTACTCTTCTACTATTGAAAAGGAAATAAGGGAAATCGCCCATGAAGATTCTATATTCAGTTGCTAAGGGGCTGCATCTTTTTTTTTTTATTTCCCCTATGGTACTTGTAAGTTAGTTGCAGAAACAAGTTCATCATAGCTTTACATTGTTGATCTCAAATTTTGGTCAGTTCTTTCATAAATGTGTTTTTTTCTTTTCAAATAAAGTGTTTTGAGTATTGTTGTGAATTGCTCGTGCTAGAATCAGCGATTTTGAGAAATACTAAAAATTATGGTTTTTTTTTTTTTTATTTACAATAATATGGTTCAAGCATCTTATCTGTTAGATACAAAAATTTTCTTTCATTTTGCCTGAATAGATACAACAATAAAAAATATGTTACGTTTCTACATGCCGAAATATGATCATACAAAGGAAAAGTGCAACAAAATTCACTAATGAGGCCAACAATTAAAGTCTACTGCACGCTAAGTACCAAATTTATCCTCAAGCCTTGACCTAACTGATGCTATGTGGCCTATCTATCCCATATTGGGTGGCGGTGGTGACGGCTGCCGGACACCCTGGCCTGGGAAGCCCTGTGGAGGCGGCGGCATGGGTGGTCTATTCACCAGAGAACCAGGAGTGAAATTCGCCTTTGTGTTATTACCAACTGGAGGCGGTGGGGGGAATCGGCGGATCTCCACCAGGAGGCATTTACCATTGGCCATTACAGATGGGGGAGGTGGCAAGGATCCAGGCATCGGAGGAGGAGTTAGTCTTGGAGGTACACCTTGCTGGGGCGGAGGTGGCGGCAGTGGCGGCACTGTTCCGTTGGCTGCAGGCACGGGTTGTGGCTTGGATGTATTCTAAAAAACAATGAGGAAGGGAAAAGAGCTAAACCGTGAACATTTTTGAGCCCGGATCCCAGTGTGAGAAGAATTTTGGCAATCTCTGTGCTTGGAACCTAAAATGCATGCATGTAAAAATACTTTTAGACAGTAGGAACTATGAGTTGACCATTGATCAACATGTTTTACGAATAGCATGACTATAATACCTTGAATGCAATTATCTCATATGGTTCAGCTGAAACTTAGGTGCTAATATTCGACAATCGAATAAGAAAAACCTGCTCATAACGATGCCTTGGCTTTGCCAGGTCTTCTATTTCTGGATATTCAATCTGCATGATGTAATACTATAAAGGGCGCAACTCAGACAGAACACATTTGAGTAATATCCAAGAAATCTCATCTTCATCAGATACCACAGAGGTCTGTCGTCTTAACTACAAAGCCATACCTGAAAAAGCAAAGAATCAAATTGCTTTGTTACTCGATAACCAGGCCGACCGATTTTAACTGAAAGAAATGGCAGAAAAGGAGCTAATTAACACAAGCTCTGTTTTGTAGTATAAAAACAAACTATAAGGAACACATCCAGCAAATTACTACCAACACTTCAAATTCTTAAGCTACTCGGAAAGACTGGCCATTTCCAATTACCAATTCGTACTTAACCTGGAGTCAATTGGTACAGGAATCTTAACCTCGCTGTTCCTAGTGTTCTAGCAAGCTATCACGCTTAGGTTATCAATGAACAAACAGGGTCATGACATCATTGTGCTTCTAAGATGCAATAAATGGCCAAATGAAGATTATAATCAATCCAATTGCAAAGAAGCAGCAAGATAATAAGAATAAGAAATGAATGAAGGAGTGGAATAAAGCTTGCCTGTTTTGCGAATAGAGACCTTCCGTTTGTGGGGTTGAGGTTGAGCAGGAGCCTCCTTGGCTTCACGGGCAGCTCTCTTACCCAAATTTGTCTCTGATGCCGCTTCCCCTGCTTGAGCGCCAAGTAATTACCCTCATTGTTGTGCAGAGTCAAGCAAATCCTACACTCATAACTACCGAAAAACCCAAGAAAACAATATAACTCAACAAGAGAAAATAAGGGACCTTCCAAGTAGGGATCCTTGGCGAGATCGATGGTCTCGAGCGCAAGCCGTCGAAGACGCTCTCGACGATCGATAGCTTCATTCTGAGCAAAGGCCGCTCCTCCACTTCCCGGCTTCGACCCCCACGCTCTGTCCATCGCCGTCGAACTTCGGCGTTGCTTCTTCACCGGATCCGGATGTCCGACTGACAAAAGCTAGTCCATCGTCGTCCCGGCGACATAAAAGGACCTAAAAAGTACACGATAATTTCGAAATATAACGGTGAAAATGACGGAAAAGGTGAAGACCATCCATCCATCCATCCATCCATCCATCATGATCTTTCTTAATGATGATGGAGATTCCCACTAAGCCTAAAAAAAAGATTAAATAGAATATATCAACAATTATTGCACATAAACAGTTACTCCAAAGACAGAAAAATGTTAGCTTTATTTCAAAATTTGATTTTTTTTTTTTGTTTTTTTGCAAGGAATATCTGATCATAAAAATCCCAGTTTGAATTTTTAAAAAAATAAAAATAAAAAAATAAATAGAAGGGCAGATTTGAAGTTTATTCCAAGAAAAAACTTGGTTTACAAGAAACAAGTTTGCAAAACAGCGACCCAACCAGTAGAGTTGGGACAAAACCATGGAATCCCATAAAAGAAAGGGTATAATAGAAGAGATAATAACATTACATTTCATCTAAGAAAAGAAAAAGGGGAAGGGCAAAGAACAAATACGTTGTCGTCTCACCTGGTGCTCACTTAGCCGTTTTCTTGGAACTTCTTCCTTCTTCCCTGTTGTCTTACAAAAACAAGCATGGCCCAATAGAATTTTGTAATCCCATTTTTCTGTTCTTTCATTTGGATCATCAAAATGGGATCCTCTTCCGGCCAGAGTACCAATTACGATCTGTCGTTTAAGGTTTTGTTGATCGGCGATTCGGGTGTCGGCAAAAGTAGTCTTCTTCTCAGCTTCATCTCTACTAATCTTGAAAATCTTGCCCCTACCATCGGTATGTTTTGTTTTGCCACAACAACCAAACCCCACTTTTTGTTTTACATACAAGAAGCGCATGAAGGAAAAAGATGAACAGGAAATGCCCTTCTCATCATCATCATCATCATCTTCTTCTTCTTCTTCTTCTTCTTTGTGGTGCTTCGGTTTCTGTGTTTGGATCTGTTTTGTTCTTTTTTTTAACAGTTTGTTTCTTTTTAGGTGTGGATTTTAAGATCAAGCTGCTTAAGGTGGGTGGGAAGAGATTGAAGCTGACAATCTGGGACACTGGTAATAATTAAGCTTTAAAGGGTTCTTTTATCTGCCATTTTTGGTTCAAATTCTGGAGATTTTCACTTCGTTTTGTATCTGAACTTGTAAGAACTAAATTTGGACCTATACTCCAAATTTTATCTCTGCTCGAACTGTCTCTCTTTTGTTGTTCTTGTCTAAAAGATTTGGGAAGAAGAAAGTTTGCCAAAGTCATTGGAATCTCAATTGTTTCACTGTTTCCAATAGTTTTTCACTTCAGATGGATTGGTTTTGAACTTGTTTAAGCCTTGGTTTCTTGCAGCTGGACAAGAGAGATTCAGAACATTAAACAGCTCCTACTATAGAGGTGCCCAAGGGATCATTCTTGGTAAACCCAATGCTGAAGGATGCTTCACTGACATTTTGTTGTCTTCTGAGCTAATATTTCTCTGGGTTATGTGCTGTTCATTTATCCTGAAATGTTCATTATCTTGTTGTAGTCTATGATGTCACACGGAGAGAAACGTTCGAGAACTTATCCGACGTATGGGCTAAAGAAGTGGAACTCTACTCGACGAATAAGGACTGTGTCAAGATGCTTATTGGTAATAAGGTTGACAGAGTAAGTTTCCTTCTTTCTCTGGTGTTCTAGAGAACACTCCTCAAGTTGAACACCTGCATTTTTTAATGATTTATCGACAAATGCTTTTCACGAATAGCGATAATCGTTTAGGGAATGTTTCTAAGCTCTATGGTATTCAGCTTGAAAAATGATAGAACTTCATGTTTGTTGAACATAGGAATCTGAAAGGGCTGTGAGCAGAGAGGAGGGGGCTGCTCTAGCAAAAGAGCTTGGATCCCATTTCCTTGAATGCAGCGCTAAAACCAGAGAGAATGTGGAGAAATGCTTTGAAGAGTTGGCATTGAAGGTAGATATCTATCAAACCAGTTTCGAGTACTAACCTCTAGAAATCGATCGCCTGGCTCGTTGAGTGAACCTTTGTTTTTTGGTGGTACAGATCATGGAGGCTCCTAGTCTAATTGAACAGGGTTCCACTGTTGTAAAAAGAAACATTCTGAAGCAGCAGGAATTCCAGGCTGCATCAACAACAGGTTGCTGCCTCTGAAAACTCGAGCACCAAACATATAGCATGATTCTCCTTATCCACAGTTTCTGTACATGTCTCCTACTGCTTCTCCTTGTCATTGAGTTGTTTGTTTGCTTAAATGACTGTAATTGGGAGTTGAAAAAGAAAGCTAAATACATCAAACCATCCACTTATGTAATTTTTCTTGTTCTTCCAGTTTCTCTTCCCATCCTTTGGATTGTTTGGCATGGTATGGTACTAACAAATTCTGCTTGTATCATATGATCAAACACATTATTCACTCAATATATTATAATTCTACATCTTAGATCGACATATCACAATTCTACATCTAAAAAACCAAATATTTACATTGAGTTTGTGAGATCTCCGCATCGATTGGAGAGTGAAGTGAAATGAAACATTAAAGATGTAGAAACCACTCTCTAACAAACGCATTTTAAAATCGTGAGGGATACATAATCGGTCAAAGCAACATCTACTATTGGTAGACTTGAGCTGTCACAAATGATATCAAAGTTAGTCATCGAATGGTGTGCCAGCCAAGGATACTAAGAGTTGTCACAAATTGTATCAGAGCCAGTCATCGGGCAGTGTGCAAATGAGGACGTTGGACTCCTAGGGAGTGAATTGTGAGATCTCACATCGGTCAGAGAGTGGAACGCTCCAAGGGGGTGGATTGTGAGACTTCACCCTAATAGATGCATTTTAAAACCGTAAAGCAAACAACAATACGTAATGAGCCAAAGTGGTGGACTTATAGCATAAACAGTATTAGGCAACCAATGGCCCCTTCATGTTGGAAAGGCAATCACCGGAAACTCCTCCCCCAACCACAAGTTTGGTTCACAAAGAAAATGTTTTTGATAAAATGGATCCCATCTGAATTCTTCTTGAATTTAATTTCTAACATATTATAAAGGGACATAAACTTGGTAATATTCACCATCTTGTTTCCCAGTTACACTACCAACTAGCAATGATTACGTTGCTCATTTAGGCCCTGTTTATTAGGGGAATCCATCAGATTGTTCAACCTAATATTTTCAGTTCTTGACTATTTTTCATACAAAATTATGTTTTACAATACTCTCAACCTACAAAGGCTCTAAAAAAATCACTTGAATTACTCCAATGTTACTAAATAGAATGCAACCAAAGATTCTAAAATAACATGTCTACCTCTCCAATATTATAAAACTTTCATATCTAAACATGAAAGCGTCTCTGTAGTAGTAGAATAAACTTAAGAAAAAGAAAACTGAAACACTATCAACAAAGTTAGAGACAATAAACCTAAAACTGTGAAGCCCAAGAAGTTGCCCAAGTCATTTTAAGCACCGCTATCAGATGGAGCCTACTCACACCCCATCGCCATGTGGGCTGAGGCAGCTTCCAGAATCGTCCTGGCCTCTGTCCCGGGATCGGCAAGTTCAGTTGGGGCCTGTTAAACAGAAGCAATACTTTAGAAAATGGGCACCGCCAAATACAGGAAGATGAAGTTCCAATATTCACTCAAAATACAAACCTTCCCGTATGTATTCTCCTTGGTGGGAGATGCCCCTGAAGCTAGTAGCAACCTTACAACTGCGGCATGCTCGCCTCTTGCAGCATGATGAAGAGGCTGTAAAAATAATGTTCACGATCAATTTGGTTGCAATAGCATTATTGGAACTGATTACTACTCGATGACGGTTTTAAAAGTTTTCTAGAAAGTTATGCTACAAAGATATAGGTACTCATTATTTCTTTTCACCAAGAGCAGGCAGATACCATTCGATAGCATGTGTGATGTGTAAAAGGATTTCTTAAACTTACAAAAGTCCATTATTCATATTGTTGAAGAAGCAAATGTAACCGTACCACGGACAAAATTTCAAGAATAATGTTGCCCTGTGCTTTACCATAAAGCCAAAAAAACTAGGTGTATTTTCTATATTTTAATGCATCAACAAGGAAGGTATAGTACAACATGGTCGTTGCTACTAGCAAATATTTGCTACGGGCAATTGAAAAAACTTAGCTATCTGTTTATCAAAAAGGATAAAACTTTGGACATCGAAGATAAACCAGCTACTTACAGTGTCACCTTCTGCATCAACTGACTCTAGCATCCTCTTCACACCATCTGTGCCGTTAGCACTATTTATTAGGAATTGTACAATCTCTACATAACCTGCACAGATCATTGGAGGAGGAGAAAAAAAAGAATGAGACCAGCAAGACTCGTTTGGCTTATTCCACACTCCTTGATCGCGGAGCGGCATACCGAAAAAGAAAAGAAGAAAAAGCCCATTCCAAAACCTTCACTATCGAGTTCAAGATAATGAAAGAAATTCCAATGGAAAATTTAGGAACCCGGATGAAGATCAGAAAAAAGCAGCACTCAAACGCATAACAACATTTTGAAGAGCTAAATCTTTTAGTACTGTGAGCTCAAAAGTGGAAATTATTTATAACAGCCTACTCACCCCCAGCACAAGCATCATGCAAAGGAATCGCACCATCTTCATCTTGAACCTCCAAGTTTGCCCCTCTTTCCACCAGCAACTATATAAAGATTAATTTATTTAAAAATAAGTCACAAATCATAAAAAGTTCAAAATAAAATATGTCGAAGCTTGCATAGGGTAGCCAACCTGGACACATGGCAGATGGCCATATAGACAGGTAAGGTGTAGAACAGTGTCCCCATCTTCCACAGCGTCATTTATACTTCCCATCGTTAAGTTATCTGCAAGAAAGCCGACAAGGGAGGCAACATTAACATTAAACTCATAACGAGAAAAAGAGCTCCAGAAAAATTAAAACCAGAGGCCTCGATTCACATAGCTTACAGTAAAAAAAAAAAAAAAAAAAAAAAAAAAAAAAAAAAAAAAAAAAAAAAAAAAAAAAAAAAAAAAAAAAAAAAAAAAAAAGGATATGAAAGACACTAGTGGTATGAAGATAGAATATCATAAAATGCAAACCACTCAATGAAATGAATTACATGTAGTTTCCTCTCCATGCAATTGATTCTGCATCAACATAAACATAAAAGATACACACAAAAACTTTCTGAGATAAAATTGTCATAGACCAAAAGAGGAGCTCCCATTAAGACCTCATCACAATTGAAATGAACAAGAAAACCAACATGCATTCATTAAAACTACCATCTTTTCAGAGTAGACTAATTGAATGATGATCAGGTATTTAAGCAGAAGAACGTTGTAAAATTAATCGAAAAAAGATCATCCCGACCTAATCAGGACAGTGAATAATCCAGTAAAATTAACAGAAAAGTGTAGCAACAGAACTGGCAGAGAATCGCAGCGCGAGTTGAAGGAATAAGTTGAACCTATAGCGGTACGAAGGCCATTAACGTCGCCGAGCTGTGCGGCGGTAGCTAGGGCGCGGAGGTGAGGTGGCGTGTCGGAATCGAATTCAATGACACCATTCTCTTCAAAGAGGGCATTATCTTCCTCGTAATCGTCTTCATCTACGACACCGTTGCGTCTGCCTGGAACCGCCATTAAAGTCCAAGCTTACACCGATGATCTCTAGGTCAGAGAAAGCCGAAGGGATTTAGAAAACAAATGGGAAGCCGGCCGGCCCAGCTTTGAACGTTTGACTTCAAAGTTGGACAGTTTTGGGCCCTCCGACGTAATTGGGCCAACACATTATTTTAATGTAAAATCTGTTATAATTTGATATATTATATTTTATAGAATATTTTAAATTTAAGGCTAAATTATGAAATATCACATTAAAACCCCAAATTTAACCTAATTTACAGTAACGATGCGTTTGTGAGTCAAATAATTTATGGAGGGAGAGGAAGTAAAACGGGATTTAGCTTTAAAAGTTACGTTAAAAGTGAGGGGAGAAACACGAGAACCTTACATACTCCACTGCTTTGGGTTCGAGTTTTCTCGTTTCCTTTTCCTTCCTCTCTACTTCTCTATATCACATGCTTCTTACACGACGAGAAACTAAATTTGTCTTGTTTTTTTTTTAATGATTCCAAGAACATAACCAACATGCTAACTAGAAGAAACTAACGCCAACCCACCTTTTTGTTTTTCCTCCAAACAAAGTATTCCGCAAACAACAAGACTTGTTCCATCAACAATTGATGCAAAAATGGTACCTTTGCGTCCAAATAAAAAAGAACTCAGTATAATTAACAGCATTGAAGATCGGTGATTTTGAGTTAGAATTGAACTGAACTGAAGTTACCCAAATTAATAGATACGCATTAGGAATCGAATTAATGAATTGTATACTCAAATCGAAACCCCAAGAAGGAATTAATTGAATCCCAATTGGGAGTTTTAATTTGCTGCAATTGATGCGATGTTTGCGACAGCAGTAGGGAAAAAAAAGAAAGATCAGTAATGGCAATCCACCAATGGCGATGCGCCGGAGAACACGGCTACCGGTGCCCGGTGCCGGTCTTCCTCCGGCGCCGGAAGGTTAAGATCCAACTCCAACATATTCCTCTTTTTCTTTGTCATCAAATCCTGCAACTGCGGAGTAGTAGTAGTAGTAGTAGTAGCGCCTCTACTCGGATTGGCGGTCAACGCTCTGTGCCTTCTCATATGGCCGCCGAGGGCCTGGCCGGAGGAGAATTCCGCTCCACAAATTGAACACTCGTGAACCTTGGGTTTGATGAGGTCATTAACGGCAGCGGAGGGCGGCGGAGGAGGAGGACGGCTGGTGGTGGACAATTGCAAAGAGAGTTGGATTGAATCAGAGGGTGTAAAATGGGGGTGTTGCTGTGGTTGCCGAACAGAGGTATTAACAATGTTGTTGAGTTTGGGCTTTTTATGGCTAGCTCTATGTCCACCCAAGGCTTGAAAAGAAGGAAAATAACGATCGCAAGTTTTGCACTGATAAAGAAACAAGGATTGATTAGCAGCCAATTTCTGTCGAACCAAAACAGGGCTGCTGCTGCTGCTGCTACAAGCCCCTGTTCGAGTTCTCCCCTGCGCCAAAAGCATCAAACAATTAGCCAAATCCTGATCCTGTTCTCCTTCTCCGGCTAACCCAGCGGAGGAGCTAGAACAATCAGCAGCCGAAGATGCGGAAGAAACAGAGGGCGGTCTTGAGCGTTTGGTTCGCTTGCCCTTCATGATTTGAGCCTGGTTTTCATCTGGGGTTTCAGCCATTTTCTTGAGGGAATGTTAAGAATAGTGAATTGATATGAAAGAGATGGGCGAAGAATGGAAGTTATATATAGAGAAGAATAAGAAGAGGAAGCAATGTAAGTAAGAGGAGGCTAAGAAACGAGTGAGATTCGGTTGGCTTTGAAGCAAACCCCAC